GCTTTATTAGTAAACGAAGCATAGTGCTGACGCCATCCGTGCGCTCGAAGTGCTGCTAGATCCTGCGACCGTCTTTCTTTTTGCGTAATTAAATTCAATACCGAAAAAAATTAGCAACTATATAATAAAACGAATACAACAGCTCTTTCCTTAGCTCCATTCAGTAATAAAGCACATAGGAAATGCTGTAAGCACTCAAGAAGTGTGAGAAGCACTCACCTACTGCTCGTGTTTCTCATTACATTTCTTTTGTGCTTACGTCACTTTCTGCGTGCTTTATTACTGAACGGAGCACGGAAAAAGCTGGGGTTTTTTTGCTAAATAAAAAGGGCGCTTTAGAAATCAATATCATAATCACTTTAATACATCTCATTTTCCAACATTGTTTGTGGTTGCATTGTTCCACAGACTCCTGCTCCACCAACTCCACCACCCCCACAAACACCGCCTCCACCTCCACCTCCATCTACACCACCACTGCCCCCTCAGACGCCTAAACCACCAAGTAAGTGAATTACACTAGTCCAGCATTTTAGTAATATATAATTATTTCAATAAAGTTTGCCACCAAAAACCTAGAAAGCTGAGACTACTCAGGATCAKGGTAAAATTTCTTATCATTTGATTCTGCAAAGAACGTGCGTAATACGGGAAAAGACCATGTCTGATATGAGACCGTATCAGCACTTCTCATCTGCTGGCGATCGGGTACGATATAGTTAAGAGGGATTTTGAGCATTTCTTTGCAGAATTAAATGATAAACAACTTTTGTCTGTTGGCTCGTCTAAAGGCTCTCAAAAATACTCCGTGACTCGTAAAAATACACAGCCGTATCAGATGTTTAGCCGACCGATAACCTCTATAGATCAACCAAGTAAAGCTTTTTGATACCAACTGCAACTTGATGAGCTCACAGGAGGTTTACTGTACCTTATGAAAGATCTCAAATCAATTTTTAAAATAATGCTGATAATATTTCTACAGCACCTCCTGGTCAGTGTGGAGTGTCTTCAGTCACTAGAGTGATCGCTGGAGTCGATGCTCAGCCAGGTTCATGGCCATGGCAGGTAATCTATGAATTAACCACTGTTAGAATACCGTATTTATTCCTTTAAGCGCCTCGGCGTTGATTATTTTTTGGGGGTTGCATATGCAATGTTTATTCAGGGGCGGCACATTTATTCGAGGGCGGCGTTCAAAAAAATTTTTTTACCATTCACATGATGTTTAACAATTAAATTAATGGAAAGTGAATATATACCTTTAAATTCCAAAATACCAATGTTTTTTCTGTATATTTATGACATATTTATCCCTTTTCAGATTGGTCTTCATCGTAACGGTGGGTTCATCTGTGGTGGTACTTTAATCAAGAGGGACTGGGT